CTCCAGTGGCCTACTAACGGGCTTTGGATCTCCACTCCGGCAAATGTTTCTCTTATAGTTGTGTCTATAGTGTAATTTTTTTCAGACAGAATATGTTTTCTTATCCAGTCTGCTAGTCTGTCTCTTAAGCGGTGCATCTAATACCTGTACCCTGAGTGTAATAATCACGAGGCATAAAGTCATTATGGCCATTTGTGTGTATGGTCCTGGTGATTTTTTAAAAAAAATCATTTTATTGGGGGCTCATACAATTCTTATCACAATCCATCGATCCATCCATCGTGTCAAGCACTTTAGTACATTTGTTTCCCTCATCATTCTCAAAACATTTGCTTTCTACTTGAAACCTTGGTATCAGCTTCTAATTTTCCCCCTCCCTTCCCGCTCCCCCTCCCACATGAACCCTTGATAATTTATAAATTGTTATTATTTTGTCATATCTTACATCGTCCAACATCTCCCTTCACCCACTTCTCCACTGTCCGTCCCCCAGGTAGGTTGTTATATGTTGAACCTTGTAATCTGTTCCCCCTTTCTCCTCCACCTTCCCTCCACCCTCCCGATATTGCCACTCTCACCACTGATCCTAAGGGGTTTATCTGTCCTGGATTCCCTGTGTTTCCAGTTCCTATCTGAACCAGTGTACATCCTCAGGTCCAGCCAGATTTGCAAGGTAGAATTGGGATCATGATATTGCAGGGGAGGAAGCATTCAAGAACTAGAGAACAACAAAGCCAACAGGGAAGAAGCACACCAGCGCATCCCAACATGATGGCTGAAGACAAATGGGTGCATAAGCAAATGTGGTGAAGAAAGCTGAAGGTGCTGGCTGTCAAAAGATATAGAGTCTGGGGTACTATAAGCTTGAAGATAAACAAACGGCCATCTAACTGAAACACAACAAAGCCCACATGGAAGAAGTACACCAGCCGGTGAGATCACGAGGCTGTCAAAGGGATCAGGAATCAGGCATCAAAGACCAAAAATATCATAGCATTGTGAATGATGGGGAGTGCAGAGTGTGGACCCAGGGCTCATCTGTGGGCAATTGGACATCCCCTTGCAGAAGGTCTGCGGGGAGGTGACGAGTCAGTCCCGGTGCAGTGTAGCAATTATTTCTTTGTTTATATTTTTTCTGAGTTTAGTTGAATCCATTTATGAGTTTGTTTTTATTTCTTTCATTGATATTGTTTGTGTGCTTACTGAGTCCTTATGAATTTCATCTGACATCGTTGATTCTTATCCAAAGAACTCCTTTAACCTAGCTGTAAAGACTGTGTCATTTAAAATATTTCCTTATTTTATGTTTGTCTGGACATGACTTAATTTTGATTTAATAATTTAGGAATAATTAAACATTTTGTTATATAGATTTGTATATATCATCCCATTGCCTTCTTGCCTGCATGACTTCTGCCAAGAAATTAGAGCTTGATCTTACTGGTTCACCTTTATACCTAATATTTAATTTCCTCATATTCTCTCTTTGGTTTTGGAAAGTTTAGTGACAGGTCGTGGAGATTTTTCTTTAGGGGTTCTATCCTATTTGGAGCTCATTGAGCTAATTGAGTGTCTACCTTCTCACATTTTAATTTTATATGAGGGATGTTTTCTGCCAACAAATATTCATCTTTTATTTCTTAATTAGTTAATTAATGATTTTTATCTCTTCATTTTGAGGCATTCCAATAAAAATTAAGTCATTCTTGTTGCTGTTGTTCCACATACATTTTTGATGTTTTTAATATTTATTTTCTGATTGTTCTTCCAACATGTTTAGAAATATATAGCTAACTCTGTCTTGAATTGGGAGAAAGATGAGGCTTTTTATCCCCATAGAGTTACCATCTGAGGAAACCACAGGTGCAATTCTACCCCGTCTTATAAGGTCGCTATGAGTTTGAATCCACTTGATGGCAGTGAGTTGTCTTTGGTTTTGTCTTGAATTGGTTTAATGATACTTTGCTCTTACATTATGTATTTATAAAATTTTAATTTTAATTCTCTGGACTTGCAGTTGCTGTTTCCTTGTGTGCATTTAAAATTATCTATGTATTTTTCAACAAGTTTGAAAATTGTAGTGTTTGCCTGAATTATTCTAGAATTTTGTCCTACATCATTTTCTAAACTTGCTGGATGGTCCTAAATAGAATTTTTAAAAATCATTTTATTGGGGGCTCATACAATTCTTATCACAATCCATCCATCCATCCATCCATCCATTGTGTCAAGCACATTTGTACATTTTTTTGCCATCATCATTCTCAAAACACTTTCTTTCTACTTGAGCCCTTGGTATCAGCTCCTCAATGCCCCCCCTTCATCCCCCACCCTCCCTCCTTCACGAACGCTTGATAATTTATAAATTATTTTTTCATGTCTTATACTGACCAATATCTCCCTTCACACACTTTTCTGTTGTCGGTCCCCCAGGGAAGGGGATATATATAAATCATTGTGATTGGTTCCTTCTCTATCCTCGCACCTTTCCCTTACTCTCCTGGTATCGCTATTGATCCCGAAGGGTTTATCTGTTCTGGAGTCTCTGTGTTTCCAGCTCTTATCTGTACCAGTGTACTTCCTCTGGTCTAGCTGGATTTGTAAGGTAGAATTGGGATCATGATAGTGGGGGTGGGTTGGCGTGGAGGAAGCATTAAAGAACTAGAGAAAAGTTGTATGTTTCATCAGTGCTATACTACACCCTGACTGACTCGTCTCCTCTCTGAGACCCTTTTGTAAGGGGATGTCCAATTGCCTACAGATGGGCTTTAGGTCTCTTGTCTGCACTCTCCCTCATTCACAATGCTATGATTTTTTTGTTCTTTGATGCCTGATACCTGATCCTATTAATACCTCGTGAACATACAGGCAAGTGTGCTTCTTCTATGTGGGTTTTGTTGCTTCTCAGCTAGAAGTCTGTTTGTTTATCTTCAAGCGTTTAAGACCCTAGACGCTGTATCTTTTCACAACTGGGAAACATCAGCTTTCTTCACCATATTTGCTTATGCACCTGATATGACTTTAGCGATTGGGAAGGTTGGGAAGGTGAGCATCATGGAATGCTAGGTTAATAAAACAAAGTGTTCTTGCGTTGAGGGAGTACTTGGGTGGAGGCCCAACGTTCATTTGCTACCCTAATACTAAACCTATAAATATATGCACATAGATCTATTTCCCCATCGTCATATATAAATGTATGCACATATGTACATGCGTGCATTTAGACCTCCATAAATGCCCTCTGCCTCTTAGTTCTTTCCTCTATTTCCTTTTCCTTTCTTCTTGTGCCACTAGCATGCAATACCATTTTCCCCCTGGCATATTTTCTGGGTCTGTAGGATGCTCATTTGCTTCAGCCATCTTGTTCTGTTTCTTGCATGATTTAAAGTTTCCCATTATTTTGGAGAGAATGTAGTGATGCTCTGTTTATCCATCGCTTGTATCCTAGTTTGTTTCACGCTCATTTTTTAAAAGTTGGGATTTAATACATATGTAATATCATTCCATATTACAATCAGGTCAGATAGAATGTATAATTGCTACCATTATCAGTCTCCAAACATTCTTTTCTACATGGACTCCTTGACATCATCTTCCTTTACCACCCCACAACCACTGTACCCTCTCTTCCCAAACTCCTTGTTCTACTTGCTATTCCTATAAATTCATCAATCCTGGGGATCATATACAGATATGTAAACAACATTATAACAGCTTCAAGAGGGGCACCTACCTTGACATAACACATCTGAGATACACTCTAATATGAACAAACAAAAGCCGAAGAAAAGAATACAAAGTCAAAATACAGAAAATTTTGGAAACCAGATTATGTCCAGCCTACATCATAAGGGGATCAACTGAAAAAAAAATTAACTGTTTCGGTCACTGGGGCTCTCACTATCTGTCCCTGTGGAGTTGGCAGGGTGTGGGTGTGTGGGCAAGAATCTCTAATCACTGATCACGAAGAGTAGCAGAGTATACAATGGACAGGTGTTGGCTGCCCTCTGCCATTGTTTCCGTGATGCTGATGTGGTGGTGTAAATTTACGTGGTGGTATAACTTTCCCAGTTAAGATGTGTGTCTGACGTGGCTTGGTATATAATAGGTGTGTCTGACATGTCCTGGTACAGTTGCAGGAGCCTGGATGATGGGCAAAAAGAGTGGCAAGATGGAAGGGACAAAAAGTGATGCAGTGCCAGACACAAGTGCTGGCTACCGCACAAGATTGCCGTGGAGTATGATACCGGCTTTGCTAGAGTAGGCACTGATGACTGAGGCGACAGGACGACCCCCCAGTGCAGACTCATGAGGAAGCAAACTCCTGATGCCTGATCAATGGTTTGCTTGTCAGGGACCCCACAGTCAGGGAGGAAGCATGCTGCCAATGATGGAGAAGGCAGAAGTGTGGCTTAATACCCAGGAGACCATTCTGGATGGATACCACACTTCTCCAGGCAGAAGTACTGCAGTGGTCATCAGTACATGTCTTTCCTTACGTAAGACCGTTGGTTATCTGCGTCCTACCATGACTCAATGTAGAGGGGTGGCCACCTGAAATTGAACATCTCTAGCTGCCGCCCCAAAGGCCCTTTCCACTTGTGAGTTGCTCATGTGAATGACCATTTGCTCACTTCAATTCTTTGGCCCTGTTTGCATTTATTTGTTTCAATGTTTATTTATCTACTTCTTTCTTTCTTTTTATGTATCTCTCTATCTATCTATCAATCATCTATCTATCCATCCAAGTACCATCTATTTTAGGAGGTGGCAGCACAGGAAGTTTATTGAACAGTAAAGTCAGGACACATTGGGAACAAGGCCCCAGGAAGACTACACGACCGAAAACATGAAAATCATGACCCCCTGCCCAGAGCAGGCAGGCCCTTCCTGTTGTCAGTGGTCAGGATTCCACAACTGATTTCTACTCCTGATTCACTTGTTTTCTCAGGTCCTTGTTGTTAGAGGATTTCACGATGAGTGGTATTGTTCCACCACTTAGTACCAGTTCCTGTTCTACGTATTGCTACATTCCCAAACTTATTTGGATCATATTTCAGATTAGTACAACCAATTGATCCTCTCTCTGTTTCTTAATTTTCATCCTTTTCGTCTTCCCTGCTCATCATGTCTCTTTGTTCTTTTTACCCTATTGTATTTAACTTTCACATTATCTCTCATATTTTTTTATCCTAGGACCTAAGAACCACTGTAGAGAAGATCATTCAGTTCTTGGGGAAAAAGCTTGGTCCTGAAGAACTCAACTCACTGCTGAAGCATGTATCCTTTAAAGCCATGAAAGACAACAAAATGAGCAATTTGACCCTACTGCCAGATACCATTATGGATCATAGCCAAGGGAAATTACTCAGAAAAGGTAAGAAATAGTATTCTGAATATAGAACATAAAAAAGTGGATAACTAATAACCTTGCTTCTGTAGGTGTGCAAAGTATTGGGGAAGGGAAGGATTTGAGGTGTATAAATCACTCAAGGGTCTTCAACATTCTGAAAGCTGAAGGAACGAATTAGGGAATTCAGAGCTGAAAAAGAAGACTTAGCAAAAGAAAGTCTAATGGATGAGTCTATCTCCTGGGGTCATTGTTGAGTCTCTGACTGATTTCTTGAGTGTCACACATGGTTACACCCTCATCTACTAACCAAAGTTTGCTGATTTGAATTGATCCCGAGGCCCCTCCTTAAGACAGGCCTTATGATCTGCTTCTCAAAGTTCGCAGCGTTGAGAACCCTGTGAAGTGCAGTCTTACCTGACACACACTGGGTTACCATGAGTTATAGCCATTCAATGAGTACCACTAATGAAAGCAACACTTTTCTAGATATTTTTCATCTTGTAGAGACTTCTCTGATCTTCTTTTTGTCTGTATGCCAGGTGTTCTGTTAAAGATCTAGTTAGCAGAATAAAAGGAAGAGTGGGTAGGTAGAAAGAATAACAACAATCGATGAAGGGCCACAGAAAAGCTCTGTTCTCATCGTGCAGGTGTGGCCCCTATCCCTGTAGAAAGAGGAAGGCATCTGTTCACATCTTGATAATGGGAAGATCCGCTCTTCAAAAGAAGCAGGAGACTTGAACCCCTAAGATGTAAAAAAGCAGAAGAGATGATGTCATTTCCCGAAAATTCCCACCCAGTCACTCACTGCCATAGAGTCAATACTAACCCATAGGGACCCTTTAGGACAAGGTAGAATTTCCCCTGTGGGGTTCTGGGATTGTAATATGAGAGTAGAAAGTGTCATCTTTCCCCCACGGAGTGATTGGTGGCTTTTAACTGCTCAGATTTTGTTAGCAGACCTTCTTGAAACCCACAATGCCACCAGTGCTCCACTGTTGTCCTCCTCTCTGATACCTCCCTGGTGGTTCTATTGGGTAAGAACTGAACTGTAACCATAACCGAACAAACCCAGCCGCTGCTCCTCCGGAGAAACATTGCACTATCTGGTTTAGTAAATATCTCCAGCCTCAGAAACCCTGTATAAGTTTGATCTGAGCGGCAACTGGCATTTTGGCAGTGGGGTTTGGGTTCCAATGTTGTTATTCTACCCAAACTATTCCATGGTGCTAAGGATAGCGGCGAAAGAAAAGTCGTTATTTCTACAATCTTAGACATTTACAGTTCAGTGCCATCAATTATGTTCTTTATATTCTTCAACCGCTATCCCAACCACCCCCAGAGTTTGACATCACACTTGGTGGAAGGTAAATTCCCCCTAACAGTGAGTCTTCCTTTGCCACTTCTTCTCAGCCACCATGTTGTTCTTAGCAGACATCGGGTCTGTTCTGAGCCATAGCAAACCTACACACAACTGAAGAAACCACTGCCCCCATGCTGCACCATCCTGACAATCGTTCCCAGGCTTGAGCCTAAGTTTACGGACTCTGTGTCAATCCAGCTTGTGAGGATCTTACTCTTTTGCACTGCTGCTCTGCTTGACCAGGCAGGATGTCCTTCTCCCAGGATTGGTCTCTTCTGACAGCATGTCCATAGTACGGGACATGAAGTCTCTCCACCCTGGCCCCTAAGGACCACTCTAGCCTTACTTCTCCCAAGACAGACTTGTTTGTCTTTTTAGTAGCCCTGGGTACTTTCAAAATTCTCCACCAGTACCACAGTTCAAAGCATCAGTTCTTCTTCAATGGCCAAGTTTGACAAGCTCATGAAGCAATGGAAAGTACCGTGGTTTGAGCCAAATACACCTTTGTAACACCCTTGCTCTTCAATACTCTAGAGAGGTCTTGTGCAACAGGTCCACCCCTGGTAACCACTAATCTATTTTGTTGTCTTGAGCAGTTTCTATTCCAGATATTGCATTTAGTTATAGTTATAAAATGGTGTTTCATTATTATTCGGTCATCACAATATAATTAGAAGGCAAGCACTAGGAAAAGCCCTTTAATGCAGACAGCAACTTAAGGATCAAATAGAAGAGGCAACATAAAATCTGAGATTAGAACCATTGGTAATCTGATCCAGACAGGAGATGTGCACTTGTTCAGTTATACTGTGGTTGTTGGCTCTGACTCATGGTGATCTCATGTCCAGTAGAATGAAATGCTGCCTGGCCCTGCACCACCTTTATGATCTTGGCTACATTGATTCACATTGTTGCACCATTGCGTCAAGGCATTTCATGGAAGATTTCCTATCTTTCCCCTCACCGTCTATTTTACTAAGCACAATGCCCTATTCTAGCAACTACTCTTCTGTGATTACGTGTTCAAAGTCAGGGAGACAGAGTTCCTGCAGCTCCCA